AAAAAAATCCAGAAAGGTTTTGCGAAAAACCTATTAAGAAAAAAAAATTCACATGATTTCTCAAAACTAAAAACTTTTTGGTCGCATTTAGAATGAAACTCGACAAAAAAGCAAAAGAAGCCGGCGTTACGCATGTTGCAATCGATAAACTGGAAATCCACGAAATGACTCAATTTTGAATTACATCGAGTTTGAAAAGAAGTGCAAAGCCGGATCTTTGAAGATTTTTTGAGATTTTTTGACAGTTTTCCGACAAGGTAGTCTTACTGTTTTCGTCCATGTGGAATGGCTCGAATTCGAACCGCAACCGACTTGATACGGTTTGCGCAGGCATTAATTGAGAAATACTAAACATAAGTTCGAGACGCGACCAACTTGAAACGGTTTTTGCAAAAAGGTTTCGAGAAACGTTTAGCGTCATTTTTAGGGCGCAACCAATTGAAACGGTTTGCGCGGAAGGTTGTGAAGCGGGAAGCTGAACTTGAACTGAGAAACGCTACAGCGACGTCTAAGCCATTTCTCGTGCGACCATCAGGGTTTATTGAAGCACACTCTTTTTTCATTTGCAGCAAAAAGTCTTGTATGTCTTTCGGGACACGAAAGTCCAATACTGGGAGCCAAGATGAACCGCCTCTCATTTTTAATTTCCTTTTTCAAATGAAGTTTTGGAGTAGTTATTTTCAATGCAAGCTTTTAGAATGAAAATAAGTACTTAACAAATGGAAAAATTGCAGAGTTTTTTGGACTAAAATTGCTGAGAGAGTCTGTTCCCAAAACTGATAGAAAACAGTCATAGTTTGATGAGAGTCTGGCAAGCGAAAAACAAAAGCTCCCAAGAAGAAATTATAGAGGTTTTTGTGTTCCCAACCCCCAAACAGACATTGGAAAAATCATAAACGGACGTTTCCTGTTGAGAAACCACTTTTCACAATGTCGCTGAAGAACGCCTTATCAGAGAGCCATCCAATTCGTGAACTCAATTCTGAGATAATTTATATCAGTATACCTGATAGAGAACAGCACGGAAACCTTGACCATCATTGATATCGAACCAAAAAAGTAGGAAAATATTAAGAACCTGAGATCATAAAAAAAACAAAGGAACTTATCCTGTTAGAATTTTCGGCTACAACAACCTTCCAGCGAATAATCTACTTGTGAAAAAAAATCAATTTATTTTTTTCGTATACTTTTTTTGCCAGCCCGAAGGCTGGCTTCACCAAAAATGGATCGCTCTTAGCTGAGACCAGGTCTCACCCAGAAGGCGCCACGCGGAGGCGGCGATCCGAGCCCTCCTGCTATGATCTTGGTAAGGGTGGTGATAGCGACGTTGCATTGTCGGCGTCCCGATATCAGGAATCCGCTGTCTCGACTTGCACCGGCTTACGCCTAATCCCGTCTTTTATCATGCAGAGGTCTTTTTCGACAGCCACCTGATCAGTGAACGGGCTTTCGAGATCATTTTCATGAGTAAGCCTATTGATAAACAGTTGGTGCGCTCGAAAACCGTATTTATAACTTATTATGAAGCACTGCAGTGGGGGTTTATCAACAAAACCAGATTGAAAAGAATGACAAAAACACCTTTTTTTGCCAATTCTTTGCATTCAACAACCTTTCAATGAATGAACTACTTCTGAGTTACTTCCTATCAATATATCTTTTTTTGTATACTTTTTTTGCCAGCCCGAAGGCTGGCTTCACCAAAAATGGACCACTCTTAGCTGAGACCAGGTCTCACCCAGAAGGCGCCACGCGGAGGCGGCGATCCGAGCCCTCCTGCTATGATCTTGGTTGGAGTAGTAATAGCGACGTTGCAATGTCGGCGTCCTGATATGAGGAATCCGCTGTCCCGACTTGCACCGGCTTACGCCTAGTCATATCTTTTCATCATGCGAAGGTCTTTGCTCGACACCCACTCAATCAGTGAAGTGGTTTTCGCGATTGTTTCCATAAGTATACTTAATAATTAAAAGTTAAAATGCTCAAAAACCGTAAAAATTTTCGATTATGACGCAGTGAAGTGAAAAATTATTAACAAGGCCAGATTGTAAAAAAAAACAAAAGGACCTATTTTTTGTCAATTCTTTGACTTCAGCAACCTCCCAAGAATGAATTATTTCGGAAGTACTTTTCATCAGTTTATATTTTCTATAGAAAGTTTTCCGTCAGCCCGAAGGCTGGCTTCACCAAAAATGGACGCCTACCTTAGACGTCTTCGTGCTGTCATCGGAAAGAGAGGAGGTCGGATGGAACAAAATTAGCTGGTAATTGTTGTTATGATCATGAATAAACTTATTGATTTCCATGGTTTTCCAACCCTCACTTTTTTCATATAGCACTTATAGCGTTTGCGGTTTAATTATGAGCAACCGTGTAAAAAACTCGATTTTTTTCAAAACTTGAGTCCGAAAGACGTCTAAAGGTCTGAAGTTCTTGAACTTTTTCGCAGAAGATTACATTTCACATTTTTCACGTTCCCAAATCCCAATTAGAATCCAATTTTTTTGCGCTCTCAACCTTCGATCAAGCCTCTTGGGTTTAAAAAAGACCCGTTCGGGTGGAAATTCTTATGTCAGGGACAAATGTCGGCTGCCGTCAGGGTTCTGGCTTTCCTGGCTTTTTTTGTCGTCGTCAGTGAAGCTCTTCACAAAATCTCCCGTGAGTTTATTTTTTTTTTCAATATTCGGATTAGAAATTCTTGTTTAGTTCACTTTGATGATGAAACAGACCCCATCGAAGTAGAGCTGTACGACGAAAAGGAATATGAGAGTTTATATTTTGAAAATAATCGAAAAACCGCGGTGTTTTTTTTTAGGAAGACACCGCGATTTTTTGGATGTTTTCCGGAATATCGAAATATCAGAGCCTTCGATCCAGAAATTAAGCGCTTTTTTCATCAAATATCAAGTAACCTTGTTGAAAATCCCTTTTCCTAGTTTCAAACTGAATTTTATTTAGATGATGCACAAAGAGGAGCCGACTACGCCCTACTGGGACTTCAGAGATAAACACCGAGACGCTTATCGGAAAGAGTTGTTACAAATCATCAGAAACTTTCCGAAGGATGACAAGGTCAGTTATTATTCTATTTCTAAGGTGGTCCTCCGAATGGCTCATTTCGAGCCGCGACCGACCTGAAACGGTTTCCGTAGGGTGTTTTAAAAAAACAACTTTTTAAAAAAAGTTCTCAAAGTTCTCGTGACAATTTCAGGGAAAAATACGTGTTTTATCTCCGCGTACAGTTCGGGATGAACGAACACTACCTGGATTGGACCATATTTGATTAATAAAGATGGATTTTTGCAATTTTTCTGTATCTTTGTCAAAAAGAAAAACAGGCGAAAAATCAACTCGCCTTACCAAAAAAGTCATCTGTGGACTTATCAGAAGTCCAGAGGCTAGAAATTGGAAGTAATCAGCTTTATTTTGTAGCTCGGTTCCTATTAAGAAAAAAAAATTCACATGATTTCTCAAAACTAAAAACTTTTTGGTCGCATTTAGAATGAAACTCGACAAAAAAGCAAAAGAAGCCGGCGTTACGCATGTTGCAATCGATAAACTGGAAATCCACGAAATGACTCAATTTTGAATTACATCGAGTTTGAAAAGAAGTGCAAAGCCGGATCTTTGAAGATTTTTTGAGATTTTTTGACAGTTTTCCGACAAGGTAGTCTTACTGTTTTTCGTCCATGTGGAATGGCTCGAATTCGAACCGCAACCGACTTGATACGGTTTGCGCAGGCATTAATTGAGAAATACTAAACATAAGTTCGAGACGCGACCAACTTGAAACGGTTTTTTTGCAAAAAGGTTTCGAGAAACGTTTAGCGTCATTTTTTTAGGGCGCAACCAATTGAAACGGTTTGCGCGGAAAGGTTGTGAAGCGGGAAGCTGAACTTGAACTGAGAAACGCTACAGCGACGTCTAAGCCATTTCTCGTGCGACCATCAGGGTTTATTGAAAGCACACTCTTTTTTTCATTTGCAGCAAAAAGTCTTGTATGTCTTTCGGGACACGAAAGTCCAATACTGGGAGCCAAGATGAACCGCCTCTCATTTTAATTTCCTTTTTTTCAAATGAAGTTTTTGGAGTAGTTATTTTCAATGGAAGCTTTTTAGAATGAAAAAATAAGTACTTAACAAATGGAAAAAAATTGCAGAGTTTTTTTGGACTAAAAATTGCTGAGAAAGTCTGGTCCCAAAAACTGATAGAAAACAGTCATAGTTTGATGAGAGTCTGGCAAGCGAAAAACAAAAGCTCCCAAGAAGAAATTATAGAGGTTTTTGTGTTCCCAACCCCCAAACAGACATTGGAAAAATCATAAACGGACGTTTCCTGTTGAGAAACCACTTTTCACAATGTCGCTGAAGAACGCCTTATCAGAGAGCCATCCAATTCGTGAACTCAATTTTGAGATACTTTATATCAGTATACCTGATAGAGAACAGCACGAAAACCGTGACCATCATTGATATCGAACCAAAAAAAGTAGGAAAAATATTAAGAACCTGAGATCATAAAAAAACAAAGGAACTTATCCTGTTAGAATTTTCGGCTACAACAAC